AAAACAGTGCAACAATGAATGAATGAAAACCCCAAATCTCTGTAAATGTTCATTAAAACTAATAAAATTTAATAATAATTAAAAAAAAGTTGAATCTCAAAGGTGGTTTCATTTAGAGACTTGAATGGAATCCCAAAACCTTATGGTAAACAAAACCCACAGAGAGCCCAGATATGGTTAGGAGGAAGAAAAGTACTAATTCTTCCCACTGAGAAACTATCTAGACTTAAGCCAGTGTTAAATATATATGCTGCTTGTATGTACTTTCCTTGCTTTTAAGAGAGAGAATGAGAGAGCTTCTGTTTTTCAAAGGATAAGTCCTTATAAAGGCCAATTATTAGGAAAATTTCTCTAGCGATTTTATCTTGTTGGTTCTTGTGTCAGGATTTGTGTGGCATTTGTTTTTACAGAAGTGACTATGCCAACTTAGTCTCTGCCCTCAGAGAACTTCAAGTTCATGAAGAGAAATAGTAGCAGGTAAGAGTGACAATTCCACTGCAGAAAAGTAAGAGACATCTCTCTTGGGAAACAACCGTGTCAAGTAGGAGTTGTGTGTAAGGACGTGGAGGAAGTGGAAGATTGTTCCAATTAGAAGTGCCGGTACCTGCAGAGTCCCACAAGGAAGGGAGGACTTGGCACAGATTTTTAAATAAGGTCAATGTAGGTTGAAGGAAGAAATTATTTTTTTTCTTTTAGTGTCAAGCAGAAAAAGAACTACATAAATCATGTGAAGGGTTTTAAGTGTTTGCTTTAACCTTTGCTAAGTGGAAGGAGACACATTGCAATGAGAAAATCTGCAGTTAGGGACGGACCTTTCCAAATTATTGAGAAGTAGCGATGTCAGTTTCAGGACTTAGGTGCATCTGATTCAGGCCATGGTCTTTCCTATTACTAGCTGTGCATCGAGACCTGGACAATGAATAAAGATAACTGAAAAAGAATTGATGCCATTGAGCTGTGGTGTTGGAGAAGATAGACAGCCAAGAAAATGAATAGATATGTCTTGGAGAGGGTGCAGCCAGAGTGCTCTTTGGAGGCAACAATGATGAGGCCTTGTTTCACATACTTTGGACTTATTACTAGGAGGTGTTATTCCTTGGAGAGGGACTTGATGTTGGGAAAGGTGTAGGGTCTGCGAAGGAGAGAAAGACTCTGAACCAGGTGGGTTGACAAAGTGACTGCTGCCGTGGGCTTTTTTTTTAAATTTATTATTAATTTCAATCAAAATTTACAGAGACTTTGGGTTTCCACTCATTCATTGTTGTACTTTTGCCCCCTCGCAACCCTCCCCTCTGCAGTGGGCTCTTGTGTGTCAGGAAGTGTGAGGATGGCACAGGACAGGACTGGTTTCAGATCTTTTGTTCATAGGGTCTCTGTGAGTCATACTCTACCCGATGGCACCTAAAAATAACAAGGTTACCATGAGCCATTGGATGACTTGACAGCACCTCACAACAACTATTTACCCCAAAGACGTACTGTGCTTGATGCCAGTTATTTCACACGTTTACTCATTTCATCCTCCCAAGAACCCTCCAAGATATAATATCCTGACCCTAGAGGATTATAGGTGCATATCCTGTGATTTAACACAACCAGTAATGCCTGGAGGAGCATCTTTTAGTTAAACAAATGTTTACTGGAAGACTTAGCGTTAATTACATTGCTAAAGGCTCAGAGGATCAAGTTTTGCCACCAAATTGTTGTTGTCATTGTCTGTCATGGAGTTGGAACCGACCTATTGCTGACGCTCTGGTGGGTTTTCAGGGGCAGTTTAATTGCACAAGAGGAGATTGCCTATCTTTCTCCCACAGAGCAGCTAATGGATTTGAACCATGTGCCTTTGAGCTTCCAACACGGCTTCTTACCATTAGGCC